TGGACGCTCGATTGGCCGTGGCCATTATCAGTTCTGTGCAACCTGACCTGACCTGACCTGACCTGAACTGAACTGGCAATGGGGCACCCTACGGACGTCATCTTTCAGCAAAGCCTTTGACATAGTACCGCATGATCGATTATTGTTAAAAATGAGAACCCTTGGTATCGGGGAATCATTGTTTCGTCGTATAGCAGATTTACTGGGAGGGCGCACATTCCGTGTCCGAGTTTCTCAGACAAAGTCGCGTTGGTACAATACTTCTGATGGTGTTACGCAAGGCTCAGTTCTAGGCCCTTTACTTTTCCTGGCCTACATCAACGACCTCCCGGCTACTCCACGATCCAAATGCCCAATATTCGCTGATGATCTCAAGCTGTGGCGGGCGGTGACCTCGGATGATGACGTCCGTGCTCTCCAGGAAGACTTAATAGCTCNTGCCAATTAACACCTCGAAGTGTGCACACATGCGAGTGGGTCCAGCAGAAGGCACCGTGGAGTACACCATAAACGAAAAACCTCCGTTCATCAATTTGCGAAAAGGATTTGGGGGTATTCATGGCTTCCAACCTAAAGTGCAATAACCTCGTCGACAGGGTATGTGCGTCGGCCTAGCAAATGCTGGAAGCGAAACAGCGGTCTTTTGGTGGACTTTCTATGAGTGCATTCAAAGTTCTGTACGCCTCACATGTGCGCCCGAGATTGGAATACGGCGGCCCTGCGTCTTTTCCATGCGCTAAGGCAGAATCAGTTCAGTTCAGTTCAGTATGCACAGGACGAAATGTGGCTTTCAGCCAATCAAACGTCCAGATTGTTGTGTTGTTAGCGAGCGTTTGTAGCTCCCAATACTGCGTATTGCCGATTCCAGCGATCGACCGTTAGTGGGCCTAGTTGTCTCTGTCCTCAGTATACTTTCCCAGCTGGGGTGTTTCTGAAAATAGACAGGTGAGACTCAGCGGTCTAGGCCTGGGTCGAGCTGCCATAGGTTAGTATAAATGGCCCTGATCCTGACCATTGACACCTGGCGGAATTGTCATAAAATGCAAAATGTTGGAACCTGGTGGATTCACAGAAAACACCTTTCTCTAGCATGCATCCACATCTGTAACATCAAACCTTACCGGCTAGCGTGCGAGTGTTTTCTTAGCTCCTTACTCCTCAGTAGGCACCTTCATCCATTGCGGTCTTGAATGCCACTACAGTCCTGCATCTGACCACGTATTCTGGCAGCCTATTCCACAGTGAGATCACCCTGTTGGTGAAGAACCTTGCCCGGAGTTGCAGCCTACTGTAATGACGTTGGAGTCTGAAGCTATGCCCCCTGGTGCCACTTTCCGGGATCGCAGAGAATAGTTCCTCGCCTTTGATGCCCGACAAACCGTTCATTATTTTGAACGTTTCAATTAGGTCACCCCTCATGCGTCTGCGTCGAAGGAAAAACAAGTTTAAGTCCTTAAGTCTATCCTCGTAATCATTGTGGTTCTGACCACATACCATTTGGGTGGCTAGCCGTTGGACTCTTTCCAGGCAATCTAGTTCCTTCTGTAAGTATGGTGCCCATGTCTGGACACACTCCAGAAGTGGCCGGACGATAGCCTTATACAGCGGAACCAGAACATGCGGCTGTGTAAGGTGGACGCATTGCAATCAACTAGTATCGGGATATTTATGATTAAAATGATGAAAAAATGCTGATTTAATTTTATTCCACAATTCAGTGGATTGAAGTGTTGTAACTGATATACGAAACATTCATTTGTCATTTTTAGTAAAAAAGTGTACATTCCGTTATATAACTGATAAATGTGTTCATGGGCACATAATATATATATATATATATATATATATAATATCTAGGCAGCTATATCTCACCCGGCGGACGCATCACAGATGAAGTGTCGGCGCGCATACAAAAGGCTCGATTGGCATTTGCCAACTTGAGACATTTGTGGCGCCGTCGCGACATCCGGCTGTCTGTGAAGGGTCGAGTGTATGCTGCAGCAGTTCCACCGGTCCTGCTCTACGGTGCAGAGACTTGGCCACTAAGGGAACAGGATAAAAATAGATTGTCGGTGTTCGAACACCGCTGTCTACGTAGCATTGCACGTGTCTGGGGTAACCGGACTAGGAATGCTGGGGTTAGGCGTAGAGTTTTAGGCAGTCGTGGTCGTCCACTAGAGCAAGTGATCGACCTCCATAGATTACGCTGGTTAGGACATGTGCTACGCATGTCATCAGATAGATTGCCACGGCGAACGATGTTTGCCAAGGCTGGTAGCGATTGGAAAAAAAACAAAGAGCGGTCAAGCTAATACCTGGCATGAGGGTATGAAAACCCTTACCAGGAGACTAGGTCACATAGGCCCCGTTAGGCTCCCTGGCTGGGGACCTCGGGATGATGGTCACCGATGGTTAGCTACAATGAGTGATATGGCTGGATGTCGCAAACAGTGGCGCTCGTGCATCCACTCGTTATTTTCCTAACACACTATATGTATTCCCCATCTTCCGCTTGAATTTGCTTCGACATTCCAATCTTCATTTCGCTATTTTATCCAAATGGGCAACCAAAAGACAGCAACCAAAACCCGCGCACGAAAGTGCATGGTTAATGGTTGTAAAACTGAACTGAAATATATTTTGGAGAATGTTGTGGAGAATCGGTGAAGTTTTTGATACCTTCAGGTATCAAAAAGTTCACAGATTCTATACAAGGAGCAAATATTAGAGCAAAATATATTTATGCGCATCAGTTATTCGGCTAAAAGGTCTATTATTTTGCTTTTCTTTCAGCACACATTTTTAGGAAATTAATTCCGTTGTTTGGCCATTTCTGCTTTATGCAGCAGAAACTTGGCCCTTAAGAAAACAGGACAAAGATAGACTGTCGGTGTTTGAACAGCGCTGTCTACGCAGCATTGCACGAATCTAGTGGGGCAGTCGAACGAGCAATGCTGAGGTCAGGCTAAAATGTTTAGGTAGTCGCGGTCGTCCACTGGAGCAAGTGATCGACCTCCATAGATTACGTTGTTTGGGGCATGTATTACGCATGT